AATACCTAGATATGTTTTAAAATGCAATTTAAAGCATTTTTGGTTTTGATCAAAGTAGGCTATTTTCAAAAAAATATCGATTTTATATCTATATTAGCATTCTTTGTCATTTATAATACCTAGATATGCTTTAAAATGCAATTTAAAGCATTTTTGGTTTTGATCAAAGTAGGCTATTTTCAAAAAAAATTCGATTTTATATCTATATCAGACTACCGCCAATTCATATAACATCCGTTAAATTTATATTCAAAAAAATTCAAATGTTTTATGACCGTTATAATATTCAAAAAATTTTGACGGTTAAACCAGATTTTACCATGCACTTACTCATTTTGCTCAAATTTTATTGTTAATAAAGTTGAGAATGGATAAAAAAAATATAAAATTAATAATTTATGAAGAACTTTGGGATTTGTGCAGAATTGGTATTAATTAAAATAATTTATTGTTTACATAATGTAACTGTTTTTTGAAATTTGAATTTTCGGCTCTAATATCGAAGAAATCGAAATTAATTTCGAAGAAGTCCGAATCGAAATGACGGTAGTCTGATCTATATTAGCATTCTTTGTCATTTTTAATACCCATATATGCTTTAAAATGCAATTTAAAGCATTTTTGGTTTTGATCAAAGTAGGCTATTTTCAAAAAAAATATCGATTTTATATCTATATTAGCCTTCTTTGTCATTTAAAATATTCATATTTGCTTTAAAATGCAATTTAAAGCATTTTTGGTTTTGATCAAAGTAGGCTATTTTCAAAAAAATAACGATTTTATATCTAAATTAGCATTCTATGTCATTTAAAATACCTAGATATGTTTTAAAATGCAATTTGAAGCATTTTTGGTTTTGATCATAGTAGGCTATTTTCAAAAAAAATTCGATTTTATATCTATATTAGCATTCTTTGTCATTTATAATACCTAGATATGTTTTAAAATGCAATTTAAAGCATTTTTGGTTTTGATCAAAGTAGGCTTTTTTCAAAAAAATAACGATTTTATATCTAAATTAGCATTCTTTGTCATTTATAATACCTAGATATGCTTTAAAATGCAATTTAAAGCATTTTTGGTTTTGATCAAAGTAGGCTATTTTCAAAAAAAATTCGATTTTATATCTATATTAGCATTCTTTGTCATTTATAATACCTAGATATGCTTTAAAATGCAATTTAAAGCATTTTTGGTTTTGATCAAAGTAGGCTATTTTCAAAAAAATAACGATTTTATATCTAAATTAGCATTCTTTGTCATTTATAATACCTAGATATGTTTTAAAATGCAATTTAAAGCATTTTTTTTTTGATCAAAGTAGGCTATTTTCAAAAAAATATCGATTTTATATCTATATTAGCATTCTTTGTCATTTATAATACCTAGATATGTTTTAAAATGCAATTTAAAGCATTTTTGGTTTTGATCATAGTAGGCTATTTTCAAAAAAAATTCGATTTTATATCTATATTAGCATTCTTTGTCATTTATAATACCTAGATATGTTTTAAAATGTAATTTAAAGCATTTTTGGTTTTGATCAAAGTAGGCTATTTTCAAAAAAATATCGATTTTATATCTATATTAGCATTCCTTGTCATTTAAAATATTCATATTTGCTTTAAAATGCAATTTGAAGCATTTTTGGTTTTGATCAATGTAGGCTATTTTCAAAAAAAATTCGATTTTATATCTATATTAGCATTCTTTGTCATTTATAATACCTAGATATGCTTTAAAATGCAATTTAAAGCATTTTTGGTTTTGATCATAGTAGGCTATTTTCAAAAAAAAATCGATTTTATATCTATATTAGCATTCTTTGTCATTTAAAATATTCATATTTGCTTTAAAATGCAATTTAAAGCATTTTTGGTTTTGATCAAAGTAGGCTATTTTCAAAAAAAATTCGATTTTATATCTATATTAGCATTCTTTGTCATTTATAATACCTAGATATGTTTTAAAATGCAATTTAAAGCATTTTTGGTTTTGATCAAAGTAGGCTTTTTTCAAAAAAATACCGATTTTACATCTATATTAGCATTCTTTGTCATTTATAATTCCTAGATATGTTTTAAAATGCAATTTAAAGCATTTTTGGTTTTGATCAAAGTAGGCTTTTTTCAAAAAAAAAATCGATTTTATATCTATATTAGCATTCTTTGTCATTTATAATATTCATATTTGCTTTAAAATGCAATTTAAAGCATTTTCGGTTTTGATCATAGTAGGCTATTTTCAAAAAAATATCGATTTTATATCTATATTAGCATTCTTTGTCATTTAAAATACCCATATATGCTTTAAAATGCAATTTAAAGCATTTTTGGTTTTGATCAAAGTAGGCTATTTTCAAAAAAATATCGATTTTATATCTAAATTAGCATTCTTTGTCATTTAAAATACCTAGATATGCTTTAAAATGCAATTTAAAGCATTTTTGGTTTTGATCAAAGTAGGCTATTTTCAAAAAAAATATCGATTTTATATCTAAATTAGCATTCTTTGTCATTTAAAATACCTAGATATGCTTTAAAATGCAATTTAAAGCATTTTTGGTTTTGATCAAAGTAGGCTATTTTCAAAAAAATATCGATTTTATATCTATATTAGCATTCTTTGTCATTTATAATACCTAGATATGTTTTAAAATGCAATTTAAAGCATTTTTGGTTTCGATCATAGGAGGCTATTTTAAAAAAAATATCGATTATATATCTATATTAGCATTCTTTGTCATTTAAAATACCCATATATGCTTTAAAATGCAATTTAAAGCATTTTTGGTTTTGATCGAAGTAGGCTATTTTCAAAAAAATAACGATTTTATATCTATATTAGCATTCTTTCTCATTTATAATACCTAGATATGTTTTAAAATGCAATTTAAAGCATTTTTGGTTTTGATCAAAGTAGGCTATTTTCAAAAAATATCGATTTTATATCTATATTAGCATTCTTTGTCATTTATAATACCTAGATATGCTTTAAAATGCAATTTAAAGCATTTTTGGTTTCGATCATAGGAGGCTATTTTCAAAAAAATATCGATTTTATATCTATATTAGCATTCTTTGTCATTTATAATACCTAGATATGCTTTAAAATGCAATTTAAAGCATTTTTGGTTTTGATCAAAGTAGACTCCCACGTAACCAAAATTGCCGTCAATGAAAAAATCGACTTAAATGTACAATTTTCTGGATGATCCAATAAACGTCAATTTTTCTTCTATTATACTTCGTTATTCTTGAGTCGCTATATACTTCACAAGTTTAATCAGAAATCACTTATATAAGGCACAGCCAAATTTTCATACAAAGTGTGATTAATTAATTATATTAATTACATGCGAATCATTCAACTAAATGTAGACTTCGACTCCTTTTTAGCGCATTTTTGAAACTTATTTCGAAAAGGTAGCTTAATAATTCACTTTGATCGGCTGCTCGGCTGTGTCTGAGATCTTATTAACCTGACATTGTAGAGAGCTCTAGTTTGTTTTATTAGCTCTGGTCCATTGTTTGCTTGACTTTAATATTGTTTTCGAACCGATAAACAATGGATAAATACTAAAATTAATGATTTTTACATTTCATATGAAAAAACACGTGATGAGAGCGTTTAGAAATTCGAATTTATTTCTACCGTTGAAAAATTTTGAATCTCAAAAAACCGTTAAATTACAAAGTCTTTTTATCTGAAAATTTTTTGCAGCAATTGTTATATGATAAACAATTTATACATGAGAATTAAAGATATTAAATATGTTTTAATAAATGATTTTTTTGTGTATCTTTTGGCGAAAAGCTTTCAAAAACTGACCGTTAGAAAATTTGAATCTCAAATAACCGTTAAATGATGAACAGTTTTTGTATGATAATTGAGTATATCAAATTGATAATTATGCCATAGCTAATAATTTTTAGCGCATTTTTGAAACTTGTTTCAAAAATGTACCTTAATAATGCACTTTGTTCGTTCGGGCGAAGAAAAACTTTTTAATCAGACATAGTAGAGAGCTCAGTTATGTTTAATTAGCTTAGATACTATTGTTTATTGTCCGATCGAACAGTTAAAAGTCTTGAAACAGTGTATTTATACTATGATTAATGAATTTTAATTTTGTTTTCAGTGTAACCTGATTAAATTATATTTTACCTCTATAATTTCAACATTACCTCTATAATTTCAAATTTTTTTCTAGCCGTTGTAAAATTTGAATTTCAAAAACCCGTTGAATCATAAATTTTTTCTATAAAGAAATTAATTGCAACAAATTATTAATTATACTATAATTAATGTTTTTGTAGTGCAACTTTTGGCGGGAAAATTTCAAATTATTTATTGAAATTTGAAATACTAAAAATCGTTAAATGATAAATCCTTTCTATATAAGACATTTATTATAATTATTTGTTAATTACACTAAAATTAATGACCTTCTAATCTTCTAATGATCTGTAAATGAATGCAAAATAATTAGATTATTTTTAAGCATTTTAATAATGAGTTGTTCACTTGTGACGTCCAAAATTAATGGTTATTTCTCAAAAAAGATATGGCAAAAGATAACATCTGAAAATATTTCAAGCGCATTTAAATTGTGAAAACAGTAAAGACATTCCAGGAGACACAAGGCTCTAATTGTCAGAGGGAGCTCTTAGTCTATTTGCATTCTGTATGGCTTCTGTTGCCTACTTTTGGTTTATCTGAGACCTGAGCATGAAGCATGCTGGTGAATTGGTTTGATGTGAACGACAGATAATCATTTAGGGTCTATAATTCAGTACAAAAAGATCTCAGGCCCCTATGAATTACCGATCATTTGAAAAGTTACTCGATTTTTGATACGTCAATCTATAGTGGACTAGGAGAGCGTGAACTATCCAATTTTTAAACTTATTCTGCATCTGCTCTTTCTTAATTACATTTTCTTTCTCTCTTTTTTTTCATTCAACAAGATTCAACAAGGAAACAATGCATCTGGTGGTATGCTGCTCGCAAATATGGAGCGTCATGGTAAGGATGCATGCAAGATTATCAAATTTTACATTTAGTAATTGTTTTTTAATACTTAACAGCTGAATTTCCATTTGTTGCATATTATACAATAAACACTCAACAAACGGATCCACAAAATTTCTTCTCGGGCGTTCGTGGTGCCTCATTATCGAAATTTGAACCCAAAAACACTCGATATTCTGTGGCACATACATTAGGTATATTGAATGAAAAGCTTCAAAAAAACGAAGAATTCCGTAACCAACTTATGGCTAATAAATATGATTCTAAGAGACTATGGATAAACTTGAAAAGTTTATATAAATCAAAAAATGAAAAAATTAATTTTGTTAAAATAAAAGATGTGATTTATGATGTACCAAATTCTATAGCAAACGAGTTAAATAAGGCTTTCATTAGTTCTATCAATGAAATAATAAATAATATTGAGGATTCTATTAGACAAGATTATTTAAATAACATTCAAGGGTCTGAAAACACATTTGATTTGGTTACAATAGATAAAGAAAATTTAAAGTTCTTTCTGAACGTTGTTAAAGATAAAAATTTTGATGACTTTATTAGTGGAGGAAACTTAATTGATATATGTGCAAATGAAAATTTAAATGAAGTAATGTTAAAACTAATTAATAAGTCAATAATTGAGTCTAAAATGCCTGATATTTTCAAATTATCAATAATTTCACCAATTCCCAAAGTAAATAATCCAACTAGTCCTGAAGAATTTCGGCCTATAAATAATTTACCTGTTGGTGAAAAATTAATTGAGAATATTATACATTATCAACTAAAAAATTTTCTAGAAGATAATAATATAATTGTTGAAAGTCAACATGGATTTCGAGAATCTCATAGTACTGAAACAGCGATGATAAAATTAGTTGATAATATAGTGAAAAATAATGAGAAGGATTTTGTAACTGTAGCAGTGTTCTTAGATTTCAAAAGAGCTTTTGAGACAGTTAATAGAGAGATTTTGCTAAAAAAATTGAAATGTTATAATTTTTCGGAGGACACTATTAAATGGTTTTATAGTTATTTGACTAATAGGAGACAAATAGTAAAAGTAAACGGGATTTATAGTTCAGAAGTAGAAGTTAAATGTGGAGTTCCACAAGGTTCAAAATTTCAAATACATTGTTTAGTATCTACATTAATGACATCGTTCGTATAAGTGGTCGAATGTGATGTATTGATGTATGCTGATGATACATTGTTAAGCATATCAGCCAGAACATCATGTGAAGCCATTGAGAAGATGAATTTAGAGTTGATAAAATTATGTGACTGGTTAAAATTTAACAAAATTGCTCTGAATACCAAAAAATGTAATTATATGATTTTTAATGAAAAAGTAAATTCGGATTTGAATATTAAAATTGATGATGTTGAATTGGAAAAAGTTGATAAAACTAAATATTTAGGTGTTTTAATAGATAATAGATTAAGATTTAATGAGCATGGTGAATATATTATCAAAAAAATGAATAAGAAGCTTAGTTTATTTAGAAGAATATCAAATAAATTAAATGAGGAGAAAAAAATTTTATACTATAAGTCGATTGTGCAGCCACACATTGATTACTGTTCGTTTGTGTTTAAAATGATGGACCAACAAACTTTAAATAGATTGCAGGTTGTTCAAAATAAATGCATGCGAGTTATTAATCGTGAAAATATAAATGAGTTAAGAGAAAAATATAAAATTGTGTTAGTTGATACAAGAATTAATGTTAATGTTATTAAGTCTCTTAATAGAATTTTAATTAAAGGGAAACCAAGCATCCTCAATAATTTTTTTGTAAAAAATATAGATGCAAGGGTTAGGAATATGAGATTTGCGAACAACCTAGTAATACCAAATTATTTAAAAAAAAAGAGCGCAGAAATCATTTGTATTTGTAGCAGCTAGGGAATACAATCTGATAACAAAATGCATTCATGATAACAAGCTAAATAATAATAATTATATTAATAATGTTATAAAAATTTATTTTTTTATATACGGAAAATGTTAGACGTTCGAAAGTTTTTTAGATGTTTATAAGGAAGTTGCCGCAATTTGTCGACCGCCTTTACAGCTATTACCGTTTGAGCAAGCGAATGTGAAAAAGGCCGCAACAACAGGCTATATAATATCGGTCTATAAGGTACATAATGTTCTGATTTTTTATGATGTTTGTATACTTTAAAGTGTTTCCCTTTTATATATATATATATATATATATATATTTAACCCCAATTAAATAAAATTACTTCCTACACACGTATGCATTAAGGTTTTTGAGGGTGATGATGGAGAAAGGTTTGAAAGAAATTGGCTTTATTGGACGGGAAAATCAGACTTAATTTGATTTTCATAAAGATAATGTTTTTCAATAATTTTCTATTCCTTTAATTTGGGTGCAAGGATGCTGTACAGATATCTTCCTCGAAATGCCGTGGTTAAAAGAAAATAATTATCAGCAGTCAACTCATGTTGTCTGTGTCCCATCATCAACATTAGATAATTGGGCTAATGAGTTTGCTAAATGGTGTCCATCATTGAATGTATCCAAGTATTATGGTAGTCAAGAGGAACGTAAAATTATGCGAATTCAATGGGCAAAAGAAGGATTCGATGATACAGATGTGATTTTAACAACTTACCATGTAATTGGGTCATCAAATGAAGACAAGAAAATGTTTCGAGTAAGTAACTTCCAGTATATAGTCTTCGACGAAGCACACTTCCTAAAAAATATGCTCACACAACGTTATAATACACTCTTAAGAATCAATGCCCAAAGGAGAATTTTATTGACTGGAACTCCATTACAAAATAGCTTATTGGAGTTGATGTCACTGCTTTGCTTTGTTACACCAAAGCTTTTTGAAAACAAGACCGAAGACATTAAGGCATTATTCTCGAAAAAGGCACCAAAACTCGATGACGGCTCCGAACAAAGTAATGATTATGAACAAGCTCAAATTCAACGAGCCAAAAACATTATGAAACCATTTATTCTTCGGCGTCTGAAAAAGGACGTTCTCTCATTCTTGCCGAAAAAGACAGAAGTTATGAAAAAAGTTCCACTTTTGCCTGATCAAGCTGAAAAATATCAATATGTGATAGACGAATATAAAAATATTGATCCAACAACTGACTCTTACATGGGTAGAGGAAGTTCTATTATGATGGACATGAGAAAGATTGCTAATCATCCACTATTAATGAGATATTTCTTTAGTGATGCACGATTACATGATATCTCTAGAGTTTTAGCTCGCGATTCAGTATACAAGAATAATAATCCAAAGCAGATTTTCGAAGACATTGCACCATTGTCTGACTTCAAAATTCATCAGTTAAGAGAAAAATATCCATCTATAAGAAATTTGGTAAAGATTCCAGATGAAATTGTTGTAAGTTCCGGTAAATTCAAATATCTTGATTCATTACTTCCAAAACTCAAATCTGAAGGACATCGTGTATTAATCTTCTCTCAATTTGTCATGATGCTTGATATTATTGAAAAATATCTCGGAATTCGTGGACATAAATTTGTTCGACTTGATGGAAGCACCGCAGTTACTGATCGACAAGATTTGATTGAAGAATACACAGCTAATCCTGAAATATTTATATTCTTGCTGTCTACTAAAGCTGGAGGCTTGGGTATTAATTTGACGGCTGCTGATCGCGCTATTATTCATGACATTGACTTTAATCCATATAATGACAAACAAGCTGAAGATCGTTGTCATCGGATTGGGCAGACTAAGGATGTTGTAATTTACAAATTTATATCTGAAAATACAATTGAAGAAGGAATGAACGTAATAGCTAATGAAAAATTGAAGCTTGAAAAGGAAGTAACATCAACAGATCCAGAAGGTAAGTTAAATTATCTTTAATTAAAAACTATACTCATGATAAACTTATCCCATTTTCTAGCAAACTCAGCGGAAGAGCACAAATGCATGGTTCGTTTAATGAAAATGGCTCTTGGGTTTAATGAGCAAGCTGCAGAACCTTTCTTATCTCCATCAAAATCAAACAAGGCGGAAGAAGTTGTGGAAGAAGAAATTGTTTATGAGAATGTAGAGTACTTGGACATGGATGATGTTGCTGAGTAAATTTTAAAGCAAATAAATTTCGATAACCGGAAGAAAATCTCCAATTTAATGTTGAACACACCAAACAAACAAAACATTAGTTAAGTTTTAATTTATAATTAAAGTTTAGTTTCTTTTGAATTTAAAGTTTTGCAGCACATTTTGCCTCGATTCAGGGTATCTGAACTAACAAATGTAGTATTTTCTTTGAGTTCAAATCTCGAATCGCGAGCTACAATTGATGCAGATTTGAGTGTAAGTGCTAAAATGTGTAGCAAAACTTAAAAAAGCTTTTTTGGTTTTTATATAAAAAAATAATTCATTCCGATGTTATATTTTATTCACCAAAAAAAACTTTAAGTAATATTCCTTTTTTTTCACACAATTCACTAAAACTAAAATTTAATGGATATAAAGGCTGGAATAAATAAAGTAAATGTATTAAAGAACAGACAGGTTTATTGAGTCGTTTAATCATTTTTTATTGAAATTTGAAAGAGTAATTTTTGAATTTATTTATTTTCGATTCAAAGAGAAAAAGTTCCTACCACAAAACCGCAAATTAATTTCCACATCTCTTTCGTTCCTCGTAGTTATTTTGTTTATTTGTTTGTTTTTTTTACCTATTTGTGTATCACAGTTAATTTTTATCATCATTTAAAATATATTTTACAATCATTTTAATTATTATTTATTCTTTTGGTATTGAGAGATTTTTAGCAAAAAGATCTTAGGTGCAAATTTAATGTAAATTTGAGTGGAATTTCTACAATTTACTTCCTCTAAGTTTCTTAAATCGTTTTTTAATTTTAATTTAATTCACATGTGATAAATTTAATTAGAATTTTTTTTGGAAAGCAAGGCCTCTAAATGAATCGATTACTATTCTTACTTTCTGATTAAATTCCAAGCTTATGCTTATTCAAAATGAGACGATCAAATCACTAAGTTGATCGAAATAATTAGCAAAAATCGGCATTTATTTATTTAAAGTCAGTCGCAGACTTTCTTTGCATTAATCTTGCAGTATATCTGGATTTTGATCAGTTTCTCTCAAATCTGTCTCTTTGAAGCAAATTCCAAATCAGTATTTCTCTAATTTTTTAAACCACTTACCAGAAGTAAATCGTCCGTTTTTCGCTTCTCGCTGGATACAACTATTGAGCAACACTGCTCTAAATTCTGGAAAGTGGGCTCATTTCTCAAAAGAAACGACTTTTTCTAAAAATAATTATGGTTCAAAATTGGAGAAAAACTGATCTGAATCCAATCTTATTTTTGGTGAGATTCGCACGACATCGGATTTTAGGCTTTATTATGTAAAATTCTAAATGTTTAAAATCCTATAAAATGATCCAAAACCAACCACCGTAAGCATAAAACGCAATAAAATCCTTCAAATAATAAACATTCTCTATACTTTTGAGTAATTGGCATGTGATGTATAGAGTGGTCGTTAATGTTTTAAAGAAGCTTCAGATGGCTTCGATCTGATTTAAAAATGATTAATTTTGGATACTTTTGCAAAGTTCTGTAGCTATTGCTTGAAAAACGTTGTTCATAGAGTTATCGAGTCTAAATTCGAATAAGCGGGTAGGCAGTTGAGTTATTAGCAAAAGGAAACTATGATATGTTCAGGAATCTTTTAAGCATTTCCCATACTAATTTATGGCTAAATTTTACTCTTTCATAATTAAAAATTGAGCAATCTTTTAATATCTCAGACAAGATATATAGATGTGCTCATACAAAAATATCGCAGTTTTTAAACGTCAAAAATTTGAATTTTCTAAAAACACTAACACTATAAAAGAAAATTTTCAATTTTTGTTTTGCAAAATTTTCAACTTTCTGTTAAGTTTTGTTGATACAGGAGTATTGCAAATGCTTTGCTATAATTTAAAGTAACTGACTTAAGTCAAATGTTGTTGCATCTGTCGATATTTAAATGAAAACTTGAAAATAGAAAATTTTAAAAATTTTTGTTTGTATAAGTACACAAAAAATAGTATGGTCGAGTATGGTCAAGTATACTCTGTATGAGCCCATCTATATATCTTGATCTCAGATTAAACTGAAGTAGCTTTAATTTTTTTTTTGTTTTCTCTAGACTAGACTTGAAGTTCCTATCTCAGATTAATTAATCTAATATATAAAAGCCCAACTCACTGATTCACTGACTCTGGAACGGAAGCAATGTGAAGACATTTGTGAAGCCGTGTGAAGACAAAAATTTAAGGAGTGTTGACAAGGTGGTTGTCAGGTGGGGATGGGGGAAAGGGGGGTGTCAGGTATATTTTATGAAGCCAATGATGTGAGGGGTGCTGACAAGGTGGGTTGGGGGGGATGGGGGGGGGGGGGGGGGGGGTAAGGGGAGTGTCAGGTATATTTTGTGAAGCAGTATGAAGCCAATGATTTGAGGGGTGCTGACAAGGTTGGTGTCAGTTGTTTGGGGAGTGACAAAGTGGGTGTCAGGTGGGGATCGGGGGCAAGGAGGGTGTCAGGTATATTTTATGAAGCCAATGATGTGTGGGGTGCTGACAAGGTGGGTGGGGGGTGGGGATGACAAGGTTGGGGGGGTACGGGGACTGTCAGGTATATTTTGTGAAACCGTATGAAGCCAATGAATTTGAGGGGGTTTGTGGGAAAAGTTTGGTGTCAGGAATATTTTGTGAAGCCATATAAAATTTTGTGAAGCCATGTAAAGTTTTGTGAAGCCATGCGAAACTTTGTGAAAAGACATTGTGGGTTTCGGGGGAATTAAAAATTTAGTGGGATTAAGGGGGTCCGAGTTTGAGGGGGTTTGTGAAGACATTTATAAAATTTTTGTGGGATTAAGTCCGAGTTTGAGGAGGTTTGTGAAGCCATTTATAAAGTTTTAGTGGGATTAAGGGGGTTCGAGTTCGAGGGGGTTTGTGAAGCCCTGTGAAGTTTTGTGAAGCCATTTATAAAATTTTTGAGGGATTAAGGGGGTCCGATATTGAGGGGGTTTGTGAGGCCATGTGAAGTTTTGTGGTAGGACTGACCTTAAAAAACATTATGGTTATTTGCGTCTTACAGTTATTTACATAATAGTAATCAAATTTTAACCCTGATAAGAGGCGCCACAGGCGCCTCCGGATAGCCTAGTTTTAAAATATATGACGTTCTTGTGTTTCGAAATACTAGATTAAAATTGGACGAAATGTTTATTATTAAAAGCTTTTAATTGGTTTATATAGTCCCGTATAGCCACATTACTTCCTACACACGTATGCATTAAGGTTTTTGAGGGTGATGATGGAGAAAGGTTTGAAAGAAATTGGCTTTATTGGACGGGTAAATCAGACTTAATTTGATTTTCATAAAGATAATGTTTTTCAATAATTTTCTATTCCTTTAATTTAGGTGCAAGGATGCTGTACAGATATCTTCCTCAAAATGCCGGCTTACGTCGCATAACTTTACATAAATGTAGGTTTATTAAAATTCCATGAATAAAATATTTTCTTATGAATCTCATTTGAACGACAGCTGTAGCAAAATCAGGAGACAAGATGTATTTGCTGATCTGTGAGTGTGCTGATTTATTGAAGGATTTATCGAGTGCTGCATATCTCATACCAGGATGCTGGGTTATAAGTCCAGATACAAAAATCGTGCACAGAAAATTATAAGTCCAGAAAAAAAAAGTGACTAAAGGTTTATAAGTCCAGATACAAATTGCACTTGGACTTAAAAACCTCACGTGCAGTTTATAAGTCCAGATACAAATACAGCTGGAATTATAAACTGCACGAGAGGTTTTTAAGTCCAGGTACATTTTATATCTGGACTTATAAACCTTACGTGTGGTTTATAATTCCAGAAAATTTATAAATTTTACTTATAATCTCACAGTGCGATTATAAGTCCAGATACATTTTTCTGGACTTATAATCTTTGAAAATTATTTGAAACTTATTCAATTTTTTTTTTCTTTATTAAGTCTCTGTTATTGAACCTAGTGCCTTAAAGTTGAACATCTTAAAAAATCTTTATCACTAAATATTTACTGAATCTTAAATGTAGCAGCTTATGTTTATAGCAGTTTAGTTTTAGAAGCATTTTGAATTAGCGATTTAAAAGAAATCAATCAGAAAATCGAAGATGACTGAAGTTTTTTCGATTTCATACATTCTCAATTTTACTCTAGCACCAGTTGGGTTTCGATCAACGCTCCTTTTTTACTTTATATGTGAAAGTAATAAGAAAGATCAGGAGCAGGACGAATCTTACATTTCTGTATACTCGTAATGAACATCTCATTTTTACTTTTCTTTATTTTTTGTGAATTTTTTGATCCATATAATTTGAGAATTTGATTTGTTAAAAATGTAAGTATGTTCACACCGTTTTTACGTGTGAATCTATTGGTTTTGTTCAGATTGAAAAATCAGTTTTTCAAATTTTGTGAGGAAATGGAACAAGATAGCTTAAAATGTTCAGAGTTGAAAAGTTTGTGCCTGAAATTTTATGCAAAATATGCTTTCTGTAAGCAAGCAAACAAGCAAGTTAATCAGCAAGATATCTCAATAACGAGACATTGTAAAGACTTCTAGTTTTTTACATTTGATCCGTGCTGCTCTATAGAAGAGCTGTTTTGTTTTTAGGCAAGGTAGGAATAGCCGTTGCTTCAGAAAAAGCAAAAAACTTTCCTTTCTTACGAATTTTTCAAATAAAAAAGTTTACTGTGATTTTTATAAAATTAAACTTTGGATGAAAAATTTTTTAAAAAAAACTTTAAAAGAATATTCGTTAAGCTTTAAACCTTCAAACATATGCTTAGCGAAGCTCAGTTGAGCAAATCTTGGACTATCCATAAGACTTTTGATGGTACGGTGTGAATATAATCCGCATTGGGTTTCTACCCGATACACTAGTTGACTTTTAATTTTTAATTCCAAAGAATTGAAATTTATCCTTGATTAAGGCATGAAAAATCTTAATAAGTTATTATCAAGGGGTATAATAAAACACAGCAGTTTAAAAGGATATATAAGGTACTTTAGAGGAAAAAAATTATTAAATGTGAATTTTTTGTGTGAAGTTTTCAAAAATTCATGTGTAGAATTGCCTTAAAGAAAAAAATTTAAAATAAGTTAAATAAGTTTTAAATAATTTTCAAAGATTATAAGTCCAGAAAAATGTATCTAGACTTATAATCGCACTGTGAGATTATAAGTAAAATTTATAAATTTTCTGGAATTATAAACCACACGTAAGGTTTATAAGTCCAGATATAAAATGTACCTGGACTTAAAAACCTCTCGTGCAGTTTACAATTCCAGCTGTATTTGGACCTGGACTTATAAACTGCACGTGAGGTTTTTAAGTCCAAGTGCAATTTGTATCTGGACTTATAAACCTTTAGTCACTTTGATTTTCTGGACTTATAATCTCTGGACTTATAGTTTCTGGACTTATAACCCAGCATCCATACCAGCACTAAGAGCACGACTATGTGGCTATACGGGACTATATAAACCAATTAAAAGCTTTTAATAATAAACATTTCGTCCAATTTTAATCTAGTATTTCGAAACACAAGAACGTCATATATTTTAAAATTAATTAATCTGCGATAGGAACTTCAAGTCTAGTCTAGAGAAAACAAAAAAAAAAATTAAAGCTACATCAGTTTAATCTGAGATATTAAAAGATTGCTCAATTTTTAATTATGAAAGAGTAAAATTTAGCCATAAATTAGTATGGGAAATGCTTAAAAGATTCCTGAACATATCATAGTTTCCTTTTGCTAATAACTCACTCAACTGCCTACCCGCTTATTCGAATTTAGACTCGATAACTCTATGAACAACGTTTTTCAAGCAATAGCTACAGAACTTTGCAAAAGTATCCAAAATTAATCATTTTTAAATCAGATCGAAGCCATCTGAAGCTTCTTTAAAACATTAACGACCACTCTATACATCACATGCCAATTACTCAAAAGTATAGAGAATGTTTATTATTTGAAGGATTTTATTGCGTTTTATGCTTACGGTGGTTGGTTTTGGATCATTTTATAGGATTTTAAACATTTAGAATTTTACATAATAAAGCCTAAAATCCGATGTCGTGCGAATCTCACCAAAAATAAGATTGGATTCAGATCAGTTTTTCTCCAATTTTGAACCATAATTATTTTTAGAAAAAGTCGTTTCTTTTGAGAAATGAGCCCACTTTCCAGAATTTAGAGCAGTGTTGCTCAATAGTTGTATCCAGCGAGGAGCGAAAAACGGACGATTTACTTCTGGTAAGTGGTTTAAAAAATTAGAGAAATACTGATTTGGAATTTGCTTCAAAGAGACAGATTTGAGAGAAACTGATCAAAATCCAGATATACTGCAAGATTAATGCAAAGAAAGTCTGCGACTGACTTTAAATAAATAAATGCCGATTTTTGCTAATTATTTCGATCAACTTAGTGATTTGATCGTTTCATTTTGAATAAGCATAAGCTTGGAATTTAATCAGAAAGTAAGAATAGTAATCGATTCATTTAGAGGCCTTGCTTTCCAAAAAAAAAAATCTAATTAAATTTATCACATGTGAATTAAATTAAAATTAAAAAACGATTTAAGAAACTTAGAGGAAGTAAATTGTAGAAATTCCACTCAAATTTACATTAAATTTGCACCTAAGATCTTTTTGCTAAAAATCTCTCAATACCAAAAGAATAAATAATAATTAAAATGATTGTAAAATATATTTTAAATGATGATAAAAATTAACTGTGATACACAAATAGGTAAAAAAAACAAACAAATAAACAAAATAACTACGAGGAACGAAAGAGATGTGGAAATTAATTTGCGGTTTTGTGGTAGGAACTTTTTCTCTTTGAATCGAAAATAAATAAATTCAAAAATTACTCTTTCAAATTTCAATAAAAAATGATTAAACGACTCAATAAACCTGTCTGTTCTTTAATACATTTACTTTATTTATTCCAGCCTTTATATCCATTAAATTTTAGTTTTAGTGAATTGTGTGAAAAAAAAGGAATATTACTTAAAGTTTTTTTTGGTGAATAAAATATAACATCGGAATGAATTATTTTTTTATATAAAAACCAAAAAAGCTTTTTTAAGTTTTGCTACACATTTTAGCACTTACACTCAAATCTGCATCAATTGTAGCTCGCGATTCGAGATTTGAACTCAAAGAAAATACTACATTTGTTAGTTCAGATACCCTGAATCGAGGCAAAATGTGCTGCAAAACTTTAAATTCAAAAGAAACTAAACTTTAATTATAAATTAAAACTTAACTAATGTTTTGTTTGTTTGGTGTGTTCAACATTAAATTGGAGATTTTCTTCCGGTTATCGAAATTTATTTGCTTTAAAATTTACTCAGCAACATCATCCATGTCCAAGTACTCTACATTCTCATAAACAATTTCTTCTTCCACAACTTCTTCCGCCTTGTTTGATTTTGATGGAGATAAGAAAGGTTCTGCAGCTTGCTCATTAAACCCAAGAGCCATTTTCATTAAACGAACCATGCATTTGTGCTCTTCCGCTGAGTTTGCTAGAAAATGGGATAAGTTTATCATGAGTATAGTTTTTAATTAAAGATAATTTAACTTACCTTCTGGATCTGTTGATGTTACTTCCTTTTCAAGCTTCAATTTTTCATTAGCTATTACGTTCATTCCTTCTTCAATTGTATTTTCAGATATAAATTTGTAAATTACAACATCCTTAGTCTGCCCAATCCGATGACAACGATCTTCAGCTTGTTTGTCATTATATGGATTAAAGTCAATGTCATGAATAATAGCGCGATCAGCAGCCGTCAAATTAATACCCAAGCCTCCAGCTTTAGTAGACAGCAAGAATATAAATATTTCAGGATTAGCTGTGTATTCTTCAATCAAATCTTGTCGATCAGTAACTGCGGTGCTTCCATCAAGTCGAACAAATTTATGTCCACGAATTCCGAGATATTTTTCAATAATATCAAGCATCATGACAAATTGAGAGAAGATTAATACACGATGTCCTTCAGATTTGAGTTTTGGAAGTAATGAATCAAGATATTTGAATTTACCGGAACTTACAACAATTTCATCTGGAATCTTTACCAAATTTCTTATAGATGGATATTTTTCTCTTAACTGATGAATTTTGAAGTCAGACAATGGTGCAATGTCTTCGAAAATCTGCTTTGGATTATTATTCTTGTATACTGAATCGCGAGCTAAAACTCTAGAGATATCATGTAATCGTGCATCACTAAAGAAATATCTCATTAATAGTGGATGATTAGCAATCTTTCTCATGTCCATCATAATAGAACTTCCTCTACCCATGTAAGAGTCAGTTGTTGGATCAATATTTTTATATTCGTCTATCACATATTGATATTTTTCAGCTTGATCAGGCAAAAGTGGAACTTTTTTCATAACTTCTGTCTTTTTCGGCAAGAATGAGAGAACGTCCTTTTTCAGACGCCGAAGAATAAATGGTTTCATAATGTTTTTGGCTCGTTGAATTTGAGCTTGTTCATAATCATTACTTTGTTCGGAGCCGTCATCGAGTTTTGGTGCCTTTTTCGAGAATAATGCCTTAATGTCTTCGGTCTTGTTTTCAAAAAGCTTTGGTGTAACAAAGCAAAGCAGTGACATCAACTCCAATAAGCTATTTTGTAATGGAGTTCCAGTCAATAAAATTCTCCTTTGGGCATTGATTCTTAAGAGTGTATTATAACGTTGTGTGAGCATATTTTTTAGGAAGTGTGCTTCGTCGAAGACTATATACTGGAAGTTACTTACTCGAAACATTTTCTTGTCTTCATTTGATGACCCAATTACATGGTAAGTTGTTAAAATCACATCTGTATCATCGAATCCTTCTTTTGCCCATTGAATTCGCATAATTTTACGTTCCTCTTGACTACCATAATACTTGGATACATTCAATGATGGACACCATTTAGCAAACTCATTAGCCCAATTATCTAATGTTGATGATGGGACACAGACAACATGAGTTGACTGCTGATAATTATTTTCTTTTAACCACGCCAAAAATGAAATGATTTGAATTGTCTTGCCAAGTCCCATCTCATCTGCTAAAATTCCATTTGTTCCATTTTGATGAAGTACAGCAAGCCAATTTAATCCAATTATTTGGTAATCAGCTAGCTTATATTCATTATTTAATGTACGTGGTTGTTCTGTAATACCAGCACCATTCTCAATAGCCTTTTCTAATTTCAGCACAATTGATTTACACTTTTTAATGAGCTTCTTAAGATTATTTCTTTTATCGACAAATTCCTGACAATTGTTAAGTAATTCAGTTTGAAGAGGTTTTTCACGAAATTTCATAACAAGCTCTTCCCAATTCCTGTATGGACGATTCTCTATAATAATCTCAGCTTTCTTTGTAGAACAAGACCTTACGCAAGTTAATTCACCAATATTAGCTGAATTGAAAAACTCAAAAACTTCTTTACGCTGTATGGTCATTTCTGGAGCATAATTTCCATCATTTTCCGAATCACTATCAAATACGTGCGTCTTTCCAAATTGCCTTTCGTCTTCGTCCGATTCATCATCACCATCGTTGTCATTTCTCCTTGGCTTTTTGCTAACATGATTATTTTGCGTACCATTTTCACTTGCATTAATTCGATATTGATAGTATGTTCTCTTATTGTTCGATTTAGGCGGCAATTTTTTAAGATCCTCGACTGCCTTTTCCTTGTTCCAATTGTTTCTAAGCAGTGAATCCTGAACATCCATACTGTCCACGCCATTAACCATTTTTAAGCAATAATTTAAAGCCTCTTCTTTTTGTTTTATGGTCAAAATTTGAATACCTAAAAGTTTATGTTGAGAAATGTTTTTAAATAAGTGAAATTTACGAAACTTAGAAAAATGAGCATTGTGAAGGCTAAAAAACGTGAAAGTTTTTCAGAAAATTACGAAATGACGCACTAGTATTGATTTTTTAAAGCATTTACCATTTGATTCCATTGCATCCAGCGATTAGTATTTCCTTCCTCTGGTTTTTTTCGATTATTTGACAATTTTTAATGCTAGATTTTAATGATTTCAATGCACAAAATTTGATACTGACTTCAGCTTTTTTGTTGTAAATTTAAATTTTTCAAAACCGTTGACATTTTTTTTCAAAGCTACTAATGACAATTTTATTAAGCTTCGGTTCGAATGACAACAAACTAATATTCGAAATTTATTTTTGTTTCTTCTGTGATTTTAATAGATTTAGCTTAATTAAAGTAATATTTTAACATCATTAATATGTTTATTAACTTATATTCTACAAATATAAGATGTCTTGCATTAAGATCAATATTCAACAGGTAAGTTTGTGATATTTTTAAAAAATTTCGATTGCTTTCATAGTTATGCCATTATAAAAGAAAGAAAAGATAATTTATTTAAGTTTTGGAGTAGAGTTTCAAAAAATAAACAGATTTCGCACTTCTACGAATTAGCAAAAACTCGAAAGTAAAGTTTTTGAAGATTAAATCGCATTGTTTCCTGAGAAAAAACGTTAAAAAGTGTCATAACAATTACAATTTTTAGGAATATATCCACAGCACTCGTTCAAATGACTACTTCAAAGAACTTTTATGAAATTCTTGAAGTACAGCAGAATTGTACACAAAAGGAAATCAAAGATTCATTTGTAAATCTTTCGAGGCAACATCATCCTGATATGAAGGAAGACTGTGATTGTGACAAGGAATTTAAGAAAATCCTTGCAGCTTATCAAGTACTCAGCAAACCACATTCAAGAGCCAATTATGATTTAGCATTGCAAGGAATTCATACAGTAAATTATGTAACTAATGATGTAGTTTATAGGCCATTTGGAGATGACGATAAGCGATGGACATCACCAAATGCAAATACTGACGCCTATTATGGTTTCAAAGGCATGAGAAAAGTAGCTAATTGGAAAATCGTCTTTGCATGCTTTATATTTTGTAGTGCCGGAATAATTGCTCAGATTTTTGCAATTTCAAAGTCGTTTACTTTTAAGCGTGATAAGTTGCAAGAACAAACAGCAGCATATAACGAAATGCACAAAAAAACTCGAGCAGAAGCTGTTAAAAACGACAACTTGACTAATCTTCAGAACATGCTGCATCGAATGAAAGAAGCCCAAGATAAATAATAGTTTTTGGAAGCAAGCTGCGAAGGAAAATTATGTAATTTACACTTGTATAATAATGCATGAGTTGGCAAACCTAGCTATTGATTGATATATTGGATAAATACCTCAAAGTGAGCTGTTAACAACGGAATCGTAAAGTTATGAAGAATCTATTATTATCTAGTCCATAAAAAAGCCTGATTCCTTGTCAACTCTAAACCTGAATGTTCATAGGATCTATTGTCTTCGTCTTAATTTAAATTGACTGAAATAGAAAAATTATTTTATTAAAATAATATCAATGACTTATCGTTTGTATCACATTAGTGTAGTATAATTTTATTATGAACTGTTTTACAGCATTTTTAACTCTATCATAAATTTTAACTGACTTGGATAATTTGTGCATATTTTATATAGGACATGAGATACACCGTGTCTCTGTTGCAACAACATTTAATCTTCACTACATTTCTAACATCCAATGAAACTGTTTTACCATAAAAATTGACTTTTTTTGTGTCTATAAATATTATTTGAACTTTTTCCTCCATTTAATAACAAATTAAACATTGACATTAATGAATTAATTAATTTCCTTGACGAAAATTCTTGCTGCAACATGAGGTTGGTCTGGACACAAAACTTGTTCGCCGTCAACAAGATACTCATCATATGGTAGTCTATAAACTTCTTTAAAGTCCATTTTTTCACATACTCTTGCTGAGAAATGAGATGTGCACAGGACATGGAATATCTTATAATTATTCTTTTTCATAAATTCAATTAAATAGTCTGTCAATCTGCCAGCAATGTTCTTTCCACGATATCTTGGGTCAACAGCTAAAATTTTGCCATCAATGAATGCGTCAATATCTGGATAGAGGTCAAATATGCTGAATTTTGTGTCGATATAGTCCATTAACTGCATGATTATCTTAAACTTTTCATGACTGGTTTTTGACGCTAATGGAACGGCTGCATCATCTTCCGTCTGTTAAAAGAAATGTTGGAATGAGTAATGAGTTAAATTGTACGCAGCATTAAACTTACAGGCTTTCTGATGATTCCATTCAGATAAACCCCAACAATTTCACCGTTCGAGTTAACTGCCTTGTATGAGCATGCATCTGGTATGCTTTTTTTGCAGTATTCTTCTAAATCCTCACAATCTCCAAGCTGAAGATAATAATTCAATGGCTCGTCCTGAATAAAAAGAGAGAAAATTTATCAAATTATTTTTCTATAGCCAGACTTTAATCCATTCCTTTTTCTGTATTAATTCTTAAGGAAAATCCAATTATTATATAATGAAATTGTCGACTGTTTTACTGCGTACATAATTTCACTTATTAATGGTAACTGCCCAGCCCCATTTATGTAGCTGAAAGAATTGTTTGCGTTCTCATTTGAAATTACAATTTTGTACCTGAATAAGCAATAATCGCTGGCAGAACTCTGTAATGAAAGCAATTTATTTTCCTGTCTTATACGCAGTTGAACTAAATACATTTTTCTCAGTCAATTCGGTAATAATAGATGAAGATTGAGGATGGAAAAGTTTCTTCTTTCGATTAGGGAGGGAGTAGCATTCGAAAAAAATTTGGAAGTTCTTGATTCTTGGTTTGAGCAGCTCTTTGTGGTTTGATTTTTAAATGACTTGATAGCAAGGAGGGATATCACAAAGATTGTTTAGCAAGTTAATTGAAATCTTGAGTTCAAATCCAGCCGGAATTTGGATTTTGATTCTTTAACTTGAAAATTTTAAAGATTCCTTATTTTTAGAAAAATTTCCAAAATCGTCCCCCACTTGCATCTTTCCTTGTTAAAGAAGCTCCAGAGAGTCTTATGAAAGACGATATTCTCCAAACTGTTTATATAAAACTGCTCCATAAGAGTATAACTTTTCCATTATATCCTAAATATTTCAATTTCCTTTCAATTCTGTACCTAACGAATAATGGAAAGAAGCATTGAGAAGTTTTTCTTCCTTTTCATTTATTGTGCACAGATAATTTTTTGTCGAGTAGAAAGGCCTTTTCAGAAAAATAAATAAGGCTTTCGTTATTGTCGAGAACACAATGATTCAGATTCGGAAAAAATGTTCAAAAATTCCTTGTGCACAATATTTTTCCGACACATTAGAAAATTGAAAGTTTTTGTTAATTTCTTTTTGTCGTTACGCAAAAAACGACTTTTTTCACCCCACTCCCCCCTTGTTACAATATGTTACAACTCACAACCCCCCCCCTGAACGTTCATAATTTAAAAAAATGTTTTTGGTGTGAATTTAGAATTACCGTTTTTATTAATTTACGTTTTTTAGAACGTTACATATTTCTTGACACCCCCCCCCCCCCCCCAAGTTACATTTTGTTACAATTTTTCAAACCCACCCCCCCCCCCCCCCCCCCTAAAATGCGAACGTAATAAGTGAACAGCATTTTCTCCATAATGTTTTCGTAAATTGCTCAAAAATCAGTCCTTAATATAAAGGATAAATAAACATGATTTTTTACCAAAAGTTTGTAAAAGTTTATCAAAAAATATTGTGCATGATCAAATTTTGTATGAAAATTTATGGGTAATTCCATGAGAAATTTTTGTAAAAAATTTACTTAAAATTGATTTTTTTCATATTTAGGCTTTACAAAAGTTAATAAGATTTTCACAGTGCATGTAAAAAGTCATATGGTATATGATTTGACATTAATTTTCTATCTAAAGTGGTTAATTCGTCCAAAAAATTGATTCCATGAGCGTTACTTGGTAACGCTATAAATGTTACCAAGTAACGCTATAAAATATAATTTTTTGGACGAATTAACCACTTTAGATAGAAAATTAATGTCAAATCATATACCATATGACTTTTTACATGTCCTGTGGAAATCTTATTAACTTTTGTAAAGCCTAAGGATGAAAAAAATCAATTTAAAGAAAATTTTATAGCAAAATTATAGCATGGAATTACCCTTATGTAAACTTTGATCGCAAATATCTCGAAAACGGCATTTCCTCAGTAATATGGGAGATAGATTTAAGCTTAATTAATTAATTTATAAAGGTTCCAGAGAGGCCTTTGGAAGACTTTTTAACTTATGAAACGTTTAAGTTTTGTAGAAATACTCAGATTTCAATTGCATTTTTAAGACTTAATAAGCAGTTTTCTTTTGATTTGGTAGTTTTAATATGCAAATCTAAGCTTAACTTAGCTAACAACAGCTAGCAAGATAAGGAAATAACAACTTAAAGTAGAGAAAATCAAAGAATTTTTTTCATATTCAAAATGTAAACAAATTTTTGTTGAAAAAAAATTAAAGATTTCTGGAGTTAAACATCAAATTGAAACGAGATATTTTCTCTGAATATGCCTTAAGTTAAGATCTTTAATCTGGCATTTAAAAGATGAAGTTTAATTAATATGTTATTTTTGAATTTTTGAACATTTTTTCTGAATCTGAATCATTGTGGAGAAGTTGGGGCTTGTGAAAATAGGAGAGCTTTTGAAATTGTTGCTTTATTGTTTTTTGGTAGTATGGAAGTTAATGAGTATTATTTTTTGTAATTATTTTACAAGTTAAGGATGTTCGTAGTCTTGTTAGATTAGCAAGAAGATTAGTTTTTGAACGATCTGAACTAATTTAAAAATTAGCCTTTGTGGTTTAGAAAGATCAATTTAATGTTTAGATAACATTAGCCTACGATTCCATTGCTAGAAACCGCTCCATTCACATAAATAATGTGTACATACTAGTAACTACTAAGCACATTTAATTACCTTAAAGAATGTATCTTTAAGTAATCTGATAACAGCGTCGACATCATTCTCTGCGATGACACTATAAGAGATGCTCTGTTCCTTAATGCTTGCGGATGCCATTTGATTTACCAGCTTTTGAATTGGCGGGTAAATTTCCGACAGATCCTTTCAAAATAAAGAATTGAAAATTGATGTATTATGGAAAGTCAAAATGGGTCAAAAATTGAAATGAAAATTCGGGAAATTCATCAGAATTTCCATCTCAACTCCAAATTTCTGAATTTTATAATCACATGCATAATTAAGGTTGAAAGCATTCACAAATAAAAAATGTGTAATTTACCATAACAATTTTTCCAGCATCTTGTCGCATGAACGATGTCTCTAAACTGATTTGATTTTGCAAATGTACAGCCATTTTCAAGTGACTTTTTGATACACAGCTATGAATCGATAAATGCAGTAACACACAACGTATATGGGTAATTCCATGAGAAATTTTTGTAAAAAATTTACTTAAAATTGATTTTTTTCATATTTAGGCTTTACAAAAGTTAATAAGATTTTCACAGTGCATGTAAAAAGTCATATGGTATATGATTTGACATTAATTTTCTATCTAAAGTGGTTAATTCGTCCAAAAAATTGATTCCATGAGCGTTACTTGGTAACGCTATAAATGTTACCAAGTAACGCTATAAAATATAATTTTTTGGACGAATTAACCACTTTAGATAGAAAATTAATGTCAAATCATATACCATATGACTTTTTACATGTCCTGTGGAAATCTTATTAACTTTTGTAAAGCCTAAGGATGAAAAAAATCAATTTAAAGAAAATTTTATAGCAAAATTATAGCATGGAATTACCCATATGATAATACACAAAATGTATTTAAAATGATGCCACACAATGCAACACAAACAAAAATGAATGAATGAAACAAAATAGAAAAGCTCAGCAACTGAAGAACTAAAGGTACAGAGTAGTAGAACTGAAAATATGGAAAATAACATGCTATAAAAATTTAAAGTGCTTAGATATGCATAGACAAACGATTGATTAATTCAATTATTACACAATCAGAAATACAATATCGTTTTATGGGAATTATCTGTAAATAATGTTCCCCCTTTTAATATCCATTAAAGTAATTGCCAGACGCTTTAAAATTCTGTGCATTAATCAGGAAAATTCAATTGCTTTTCCGTCCGTTCCCCATCGTTTATTTTACTGTCTGCTGTATTTTGAGAAGATTTATTTGCACATAGTTCCAACAATGCAGAATGACCCTCTTTTTCTGTGATAATGTTACGTTTTCATAAAAGCCATTATTATCAGCCAATTTATTGAACAGTTCGCTTTTCGTTTGTCAGAAATTCTATTAAATACATATTGAATGTCGTATTTTATTTTGTTGTAATAAAGGGTTTAATTAAAATGTGCACGGATTATATGATAAATGTACAGTTTGGATAAAGAATATGGTGATTGATATTTTGGGCAGTTTGTCTGTTGGAATCTTTGATTTTACTACGTTTCTTTATTGGTTAACTTAACATTAAAAGCAATATCAAGTCCCCTGAATTCTTTCAATTGTGTAATAATTGAGAAGGAATGGTTTTTGACAAAATTTCAGTTTTTATGAATTTGGTCTAAGTCTTCAAAGTAGTCTTCTCTGTGCCATAACTACTGAGAGGTTTTTTAGAATACTTTCCAGAATTTTATAAAACTCGAAGAATTCCTGTTCTATACAAAATATTTTTGACCCTTTTTTTATTCGTTGTTCCTTTTTTTAAACTCGGAATTATTTCTTTTCTTTTAAGTTCCCAAAATTTCGCGGAAGGATTTTTCACGTTACATAATTAGTGAACAGAAACCTTAAAAACTATAAATTAAAAACGGAATAAAATCAATTATTAATTTCAAGACCATCAAAAACAAGGTTTAATCTGGTTCAGTGTTCATAATTTGAAAATATTAAAGATTTTAAAATAAATGCAAATTCCTGTAAACCTTTTGATATATCTATAATTTCGCACTTAATACTAATCACTCTAATAATTTTATTTAAGGTTTCAAATGACAATTTTGAATTCTTTTGCACAATTTAATAAAAACTTCCTTCTTTCGTCTCGATCAGCACTTGAAAAATGCGTATCGAATGTGAAAATATATCTAATGCTCTGTAATTTCTAGGTCATCGAATATAAAGACATATGATAAATATCAATCTAATAACTTTCTCTTGATTAGTGATTAGCAAAATTAAATCAATCTCAACAATTTTGATAAAGTAAGGAGATAAATTTAATTCAGATTTAATCTTGTAAATTTACATAATTTCCAATTATGCAAACATTTTAATTAATGTCATAAGCAATGAATAATTATTTTCATTTAACAATCCTTTAAATTTACAATCAATTAAAATGCAAACTAGTTATTTTTAAAAAATTCAATTAATTTTACTCAGCAATTAATATTAATTTCATCATTAAAGTCTGTTGAGTACCTATTAAAAAAATCTCATGTTTATTTTATAGATCATACGCAGTCATTAATCATCGGTTGTGTTAAATCAATAATGTTGACACTAAGTGCTGTTAAAATTTTGATAATTTTTTGCTTGCATAACAAGTCACAATTATCGCCTAAAGTAATCTCATTGTATTTTATGCACTTTTATAATAAATGATTGTTTATACAATTGCACCAGATGTAAACACGTGCTGTACAGATTTAGATACACAAACATTTCCCATTCTCTTTCTCTATGTTTGCATACATTCGGAGCAGGTCAGTGACTTTATTCTCAACTCGCGAAATACTTTTATTGCTTTAATATTTGAAGCAATTTATTATTTTAGCTAATACTGATTGCTTAATTGTTCATCGGAACCTGTTTATTGTTTGAATTACAAAATTATGCAACAACCAAGCAGCAAGGTCAAGTTCAAGCTCAAAAACGTGACTTGGAATAAGGAATGATTTCCTTAACTTTTCCATATCGCTGGGGGTTCTCAGAATGAATAATTTTAATTAAATTTTTGAATGGCAAATGCATGAAAATTGAGATTAAAATTATTTTATAAAATCACGGTTATTAAAAACCGAGGGCCCCCAACCGTTTGAAAGTACAGTCGACATTGTTCTATTGATTTGCGAATGACACTTAGTCACTTATAATAATTCAATTTAATAGACATACAGTAAATTTCATGGGTTTTACGCCTATATCAATAAACATTTAGGGTTATTATCTAAATTCTCTAGCAATATATCATTATCGATATCTATGAATATCTCCATTAATGCCAATAAACTTTAAAAGTAATAAATTTCTTCGTTGTCGCCTTACTATCAACTAAACGGAACCATAAAATTCAAGCAACAATATATTAATTTTCATGCTGAATAGTGATTGTTTGAATTATTTATTTAAATTGATAATTGATAGGTTTCATGATTAATTATTATTCCACAAGTGTATCATACTAATTGAATAAATTAAATAAATTGAGAGAGCCATATGGAACTTAGTTACTCGTTCCTTTTTAATAATGCATCGATCGATTAAAATGCAAATCACACCTGTTCACTTTTTCAGGTGTTTTGTCATCGAATCAATCCCTTTAAAGTCATAATGTGATTATTTTTTGTATGGCTGCTTCATTTATGTCATGTATTGACGACATTGGTTTAAAAGGAAATTCCTTTTTCTTCAGAATTAATTTTGGAAGATATTAAAAAATAATTTGGATTGTCTATAAACATTTTTTAAGGTTTTTCAGGCTGAAAGACTCTTTTTGGTAATTTTAGATTGAATTTTATTTTAATCACGGTCAAGTTGATCAAATTACAGTGAAAGATATAATTAGTCTTTCGAATGTACAGTCTGTTTATTTTTACCTATTAGCTGTGGTATAGACACAGTTCCTTAGAACATTTGATCAACTTTTTGGCAGTAGCTTTTATCTCTAACAACAATCAATTGGTTCAATTATTTCAATCGAACAATTCTTCTGTCTCATTGATTTTTCTATATTATCCTATGCTAATCATTAAATAAGTATTAAGGATATTCACATAACAACATTAAGTGTATCAAAATAGTTATTCGCAAAATGAATTTGATTTGGGCAGACATAAGTCGATTCTGTCGCGCAGAACTTGAAAAAAATAAATATAGCGTGCTTCAAAAACAAAATTCAATTTTAAAAGTTTTTATTGATACACATCGGGATTAATCTTAAGTTAGCTGAATAATTAGAACTAATTGAAAGTGATTGTTTAATTTATCTGAAGATCAAGGACAGGACATGTAAGCGCCCATGTTCGCGAAAAGAATAGTGATATGCAGACTTTAAAAATAAAAACAGTCATTGTAGAACAAATCCTGTATAGCTTGATCTCACGTGAGACATCACATGAACATGAGATGTTCACATATTCTAAATTAATTTGTAAAGTCACCTCTGCAGAGTTCAATATCCTTTTTGTAACTATTAGAATTGATCGAACATGCCATTAATAATCTATTACCTGCCTTGAAATTAAACAAATGTTTAACAAAATGGGATACATTGTATCGCATATTAAATTTTTACAGTCTACTAGTAGCCAACGTTCGTGTAGACACAATTGAAATGCTTCTTAGAATAACGTTACAGTAAGTGACCTAATTTATTATAAATTTACATAAAGTTACATATTGAATTAATTTAATTCATTTTTCTCGGTTGGGCTGGAGAAAAGTCACAGGTACTTAATAAATTGTAATGCTTGGCAATTGAAATTGATTTCATGTTCAGTGCTCCTTGAAAAGTATTACAGCACATATAGGACTGGCAAATATTGAATTTTGTTATTAGATTAACTTTATTTACTATGTTACATCTGTTCATTTTAAATTGCAATTGTATATCAATAAATAAATTGTGTCTATTTTAATAAATTTTCATACGGATTTAATTCGTGATTCAAATTAATATGTTCTAATCGTTTGGCAAATCATGTAAGAAGTATGGGCGTTTTGCAATAGGAAATGTATTTATTCATATTTCATATTTTTGTAAGGATGTCGTCATTTTAATCATGTAAACGTATATTTGTAGACACGGATCTATATTGGTTGATTTACAAAGTTTCTAGTATAGCTTTAGGTTTTCATGAAAATTGTCACGTAGTCTCGTAAGATAAATAGGATGTCAATCTGTTGGCTTATGATTTGAAATTTCAGATCCTTAATTTGGTTATCTTACTGTTGACATTCATGTTTTCCTCAAATCTAAATATCTCAGTTCCTAATTTTCAAAAAACTTGTCAACTTTAACAAATATTAAACTTAGATTAATGTTTTTGTAGACTAGAGCTGATTTGAATCGAATTAGAGTTCAAAGGTTTCAAAAGTTTTTAAAAGGTTTTTCTC